TATGAAGTTAGTATTTCAATGGAAGGTAAAACAACATATTGTAGTGGGCCACCGGTACCAAACACTGAATTGTTTTTCCTTTTAAGTTGAAAATGGTTTTAATGCAAAGCGCTTTTTTGGAGCAGGTAGAGTCGTCCTGCAGGCGGGGCGAGCTCCCCTCAGTCTGGGGCAGGGCGGGGGAAAAGGGCAGGTAGAGGGGTGAAGTGAGGCGCTGGTTGCAGTGGGGACTGACAATTAGAACGGCTTATTAAACTAATCAAAATCATGAGTTGAGTGGATAAGGGAAACTGAAAGGCGACATGCAAAACTCTATTACACACAGGAGGTGAAGGACAATTTCATATTTTGTGGAAATAAAGCTAGAACCCGGAGGGGTGGCTCACATCTATAATCTCTGCACTTTGAGAGGTCAGTACGGGAGGATTACTTGAGCCCAGGAGTTCGTGATCAGTCTGGGCAACATAACATAGTGAGACCTCCACTCTACTAAAAATCAAAAACCTCAGCCAGGTGTGGTGGTGCACACCTGTGGTCCCAGCTGCTCGGGGCGCTGATGTGGGAGGATCACTTGAGCCACGGAATTGGAGGCTGCAGTCAGCCCTCTTCTCGCCACCACACTCCAGTCTGAATGACAGAGCTGGACTCTGTCTCAAACAAACAAGCAAATAAATAAGAGGTATAAGTCCTCCTCTGAAAATAAGGGAAGACTTTTTTTTCCTTGCATCTCTTTTATTAGGACATTTATTTAGAAAATTCGTAAATGCATTTTCTCTCTCTTCCAAAGTGGTTTTTATTTTTATTTTTTTGGACGGAGTTTTGTTCTTATTTCCCAAGCTCTAGTGCAATGGCGTGATCTCAGCCCAGCACAACCTCCACCACAATCTCCAGGGTTCAAGCGATTCTCCTGCCTGAGACTACCAAGTAGTAGTCTCCGGAGTAGTGCTCCAGAGACTGAAGCAGGAGAGGGGTTCAGCGGGGAGGGGTTGCAGTGAGCCGAGATCTTGCCACTGAACTCCAGCCTGGGTGACAGCGAAATACTCTGTCTCAAAAAAGAAGAAAAGAAAAAAGTATATATAATGAAAGAAAGTAATAGATCTCTTCCACAAATGTGCTGGGACAACTAACTGGATATTCACATGGAAAAAAACGTTGCACCCCTATGTCACACCATCAAAAATTTTATTTAAAATAGTTAAAAAAAAAAAAAAAAAGAGAGAGAGAGACTAGTAAGGGTAAGGGAGCCCAGCGGGAGGGGGTGTTACTTTGTCGCCCAGGCTGAACTGGACCCCCAGGCTCAGGGATCCCCGCGCCACCCGGAAGCAGATCGCCTCAGTGAAGGTCATACCGGCAGGGCGAGTTTCGCTCTGTCTTAGTTAAGTCGGTCCCTTCGCAGGCCCCCGACTCTGCTAAATCAAGGTGGGTCCCAGAGACCCTGGAAATTCCCACCTTCCTATCCTCCACAAAGACATTGAGCTCTTGTAGAGGCGCTTCCTTTTGAGTTTTGTTTGAGACCCAGTCCTCAGTCTGTCGTCCAGGCTGGGGTGCAGTGCGCAATCTCGCCACTGCGACCTCTGCCAGCCCGGTTACCAATTTTCTGCCTTAGCCTCCCGAATACCCAGGATTCAGCGCTGCCACTTGCCCGGTTAAATTTTTTGTATTTTTAGTGTAGACAGTTTTCGCCATCTGCCAGAAGGTTCTGAAGTTCTGACCTCCTTATCGCTCCGCTTTGGCCTCAAGTGGTTGGATTACAGGCGTGAGCCTACCGCGCACAGCCTCCTTACTAAGGTTGGTACAACGTACAGTCTGAGGCTGGTCCATCCCGGCCTTCTATCGCGTAGTTCTCCTGCTCGAAACCGTTTCTGACCCCGTCCTCCTCCGCGTCTTTAAAGTCACTCATCCCCGGAGGTGATCTCCGCCTGGGCGCCTCCCCAGCCTCTCCTCCCTGCCCTGAGGCAGCCTCGCACCCTAGTCCCCGGGAGGCCGTTCCACATAATTCCAGGCTTCCGATCACGCCTCAGCCTTCCTGGGCGGTTCTCGCCTAACAAACAGCCCGCAAAACCATGGCGCCTGGCCGAACCGAACGCGACAGAACCGACAGCTCCCCCCGCCACCGCCCCAAGCCCCTGGCCCTCTGCCGGTTCTAAAGGGTGAGGTCTCTCCGCCTCGCGCCCAGCCTCTACCTCACCCAGACCCCACCCACCTCCTCGGGGGTCCCGCCCGGGTCTGGCTTCTGCCCTGCGCGCGCAGATTCGCGCAAACCCGGAAGCGGATCGCGTGGAGTAAAGGTCCTACAACCGCGCGTGAGTTTCGCTCTGCTTTTATTAAGTCTGCGTTTCCCAGGCCCCCGGCGCTCTTTTTTGTTTGTTTGTTTTTGTTTTTGTTTTTGGTTTTTGAGGCAGAGTCTAGCTCTGTCGCCCAGGCTGGAGTGCAGTGGCTCGATCTTGACTCACTGCAAGCTCCGCCTCCTGGATTCACGCCATTCTGCTGCCTCAGCCTCCCGAGTAGCTGGGACTACAGGCGCCTGCCAGCACGCCCGGCTACTTTTTTTCTATTTTTAGTAGAGACAGGGTTTCACCATGTTAGCCAGGATGGTCTCGATCTCCTGACCTCATGATCCGCCCGCCTCCGCCTCCCAAAGTGCTGGGATTACAGGCGTGAGCCACCGCGCCCGGCCTCCCCAGCGCTTCTTTACCTGGAATGTCGGGTCCCCACAAACCTGGAAATTCTCGCCCGTCTTCTTTCACCAACAGCAAATTGAGACGTCCCCGTGAGAGTCCGGAGGTCATTTCCTTTTGGGTTTAAGGTCGCCCTGAGGCTGGTCCTGTCCCGCGTCTTTCTGCTGTAGGACAATATATACACTTCCTATCGCGTAGTTTTCCTGCTCAAAACCGTTTTTTGACTCCTCCCGCCCCGCACTTTTTAAAGTTCTCACCTGAGAGGTGGATTCCCGCCCTAGGCGTCTCCCAGCCTCACCCTCGCGGGACCCTGGAGCGCAGCCCCGCGACCCCAGTCCCGGGTAGGCTGGGTTTTCTGCCTGGTGCTGGGATCCTGCGGACCCCACGCTTTTCCGAAGGCGTCGTTGTCCCCCACCTCCCTCCTACTCGGACTGGGCCCTGCTGCTCTCCAGGTCTCCCCTCTGCAGTCACCGCTTCCCCTGAGCCCGCGCTGGGGAGGTGCCCGGGGCCTGTCCTGTGACACGGGGGTGTTCTTGTCTGCCCAGCTCCAGCCTCTGGAAAATGCTCTCCTTCCGGATGCAGGCGTCTTCCTCCAAACCCTCGTGTGATTGTGTGGGCCAAAGGGATCAGGAGACAGAGAGAGGGACTGAGAGAGCAGTAGAAAACCTGAGACAGAGAAAAGAAGAATGAGAAAGACCCATAACAGAGGGCAAAGTAGAGGATGGGTGAGGGATTTGCCAAGAGACAGCAAAAGTGATTAAACAAAAGATAAGAAAGCAGGAGGAGAAGAGCAACTGGAGAAATGTAGAGAAAAGCTAGATGTACAGAGAGATAAAGGACAGCAAGGTAGGGAGAAGGGCAGCAAAGAGGGAGGCTCATCAGAGTGAGGGAGAGGAGGAGGGATTTGGAGCCAGGGCAGACAGAGCACAGTGGTGCTGGTGGCAAAGAGAACAGAGGGGGAAGGACAGCAGGGAGGACACCTGGGGATCTGAGGTGCCACAGAGTGAGGACATGGGGGTATAACACGGAAGAGAGAATTTAACAGGGAGAGCAGAGGAGGCGCAGAGATGGGAGAAGAGGTGGAAATCTATGGAGATTGAACACAATCTAAAGATTGGGGAGAAGGAGTAAAAAGAGGTCAAATGAGTTGGGAGGATGGAGCCTGGCTAATTTTTGTATTTTTAGTGTAGACAGGGTTTCACCATGTTGGCCAGGCTGGTCTCGAGCTCCTGACCTCAGGTGATTCACCTGCCTCGACCTCCCAAAGTGCTGGGATTACAGGCGTGAGCCACCACATCCGGCCACCCATGTTTTTTTGATTGAAAAAATTTGCTTATGTCTTAGTTCTACAACTGACCTTCTTTCCCTGTTTTCAAGGTCAATAGCTGTGTGTTCGCACTTTTGCATTTTATGAATGTTACTCTGATTTTCTTGTAAGAAATAATTGAATGTTGAGAATCAATGGCATCAGAACCTTGCAAAATAAGTTTCTTTAGCCCAGGTGTGTGAAAAATGCTTCCCTAATTTTCAAGGATGGGGTGATAAAGACCAACCCTTCCCATTAGCCCTTCCAGGCCCCATGTAAGAATTCAGCGCACACTCTCACTCACCTCAGACCTTCTCAGGGTAACTCAGTGAAAATGTCTCCAGCTCTGAGCCGCCAGTGAGCCTCCCTGCAACTTGCGATGAGGGGCTAGACCAGAAAAGCTCCAACCCGAGCACGCTGACCCCTGAAATGATTGGCAAAATAGAGTGTTGTCTGGGTGTGGCTTTCCTGGGAGAGGGGAGTGCCCGGTTTGTAATTAGAATTTTCAATGGGATGCAGTACATCCACAGCTACATCTAAAGCAGGTCATGTCAGTCCCTGGCAGGGAACCCTCCACCGGCTTCCCGTGTTCCCCAGGGCGAAAGCCCAACTCCTCACTGTGGCTCCACAGCCCTGTGTCCAGGGCCCCTGCCAGTGTCCAGCCTCCTCCTGGGAGCTTGTCCCTGTCTCCTGACTCCCTCTGCCCCAGTCACATTTGCTTTTCTCTTTTCCCAAACATCAAAACCCTTCCTGTCTCGAGTCGTTGTCCCTGCTCTTACCCTATGTCCCCTGCCCTTTCTCCTCCTTCAGGTCTGGGCTCAGAGATGTCTCCCATGCCCTCCCACCCCCATTTGAAGTTCCCTCTGCCTATCATTCTCTGTCACATTACTCAGGTTTTATTATCTCTGTGTCAGTCACATCAGAAACGTGCTTTTTTTTTTTCCAAACAGGTTCTCACTCTGTCCTCCAGACTGTGAGTGCTGTCTCGTGATCTTGGCTCACTGCAACCTCTGTCTCCTGGGTTGAAGCAATTCTTATGCCTCAACTTCCCAAGCAGCTGAGATTACAGGTGTGTGCGTGCCACCACACCTGGCTAATTTTTGTATTTGTATTTCCTTTTATTTTTGAGTCTTGCTCTGTTGCCCAGGCTGGAGTGCAGTGGCACAATCTTGGCTCACTGCAACCTCCACTTCCCAGGTTCAAGCGATTCCCCTACCTCAGCCTCTCGAGTAGCTGCGATTACAGATGCCCACCAAGCCCAGTTACTTTTTGTATTTTTACTGCAAATGGGGTTTCACCATGTTGTTCAGGCTGGTATCGAACTCCTGACCTCAAGTAATCCAACCCCCTTTGCCTTCCAGAGTCCTAGTATTACAGGCGTGAGCCAACGTGCCCAGTCCACTTTTTATATTTTTAGTAGAGACAGGGTTTCACCATGTTGGCCATACTGGTCTCCAATTCCTGAGCTCGAGTGATTTTCCCACCTCAGCTTCCTAAGTAGCTGGTACAACAGACAAACAGGCGTGCACCACCAGACCTGGCTAAGTTTTTGTATTTTTGGTAGAGATTGGGTTTCACCGTGTTGCCCAGGCTGGTCTCAAACTCCTGAGCTCAAGCGATGTACTCACCTCGGCCTCCCAGAATGCTGGGATGACAGGCATGAGCCACCGCACCCAACCTCTGCATGGGGTTTGGTCAGGGCTGGGTCTGTGCCCTGAAGGGGAGCTTATTCCAACCCAGCTCCCCACTCCTGCAGCGTGTGTGGGGGCTTCTCCAGGAGAGCCGGAGTTTTCCTGTAGGAGTTTATCATCCTTGCTGCAGTGGGCAGCAGAGGGGACCGTATTTCCTCAGGGTGAGGTCTCCTTTGTATGTGTCCTACAGGGAGGGGGTGTGTTGATTCTGAGCAATAAACAACATATTCTGACATTCAGGATTGACTTCAAAGACTCTTAGTCCGTGGGGAAGAAACCCAGAAGAGGAAGAGGAAAGCAGAGGAGTCAGGGATGGCTCTTCCTCAGGTGAGACGATATTCTCGGTGGATTGTTCTGTCTCCTTCCTTTCAGAAACGGTGGGCCTTGGAGTTGGGAATCTTCTCTGAGTCTGAAGCGTCCTGCCTGACAGGTTTGCTCACACTCACCCATGCCTTCCCTCAGTCCCTCTCATCGCACTTAGATTCCATCTCTCATGACCCAGTGACATGAACTTGGGAAGAGGTGGCAATGGGTGTGGGCCTGGGAAGGGCTCACACCAGACATGGATGGAGACGGGGTGAGGGTCCTGTGGTGTCAGTGCTGTTGGGCAGCAGGGATTGTTTAAGGGCCACATCTGGATACACTGTGAGCTCTCTGTAGACAAGGATTAGAGCAGCTGCCAATAGAAGTCACATATTAATGTGCACAAAGTACGTGGAAAATTCTAGAATAGGAGAACAATAATGGGAAATCTTCTGCTTAATTTCTTTTTTTATTTTTATTTTTTCTGGAGACGGAGTTCTGCTCTTGTTTCCCAGCCTAGAGTGCAGTGGCGCGATCTTGGCTCACTGCCACCTTCGCCGCCCAGGTTCAAGCGATTCTACTGTTTCAGTCTCCCGAGTAGCTGGGATTACAGGCATGTGCCACCACCCCTGGCTAATTTTCTATTTTTAGTACAGAGGAGGTTTCTCCATGTTGGTCAGGCTGGTCTCGAACTCCTGACCTCAGGTGATCCGCCCACCTCAGCCTCCCAAAGTGCTGGGATTACAGGCATGAGTCACTGCGCCCAGCCGATTTCTACCTGATTTTATACTACATTTTTAGGTAATTGAATGAGTTACTGTGTTTCTGACTAAAAAAACTTACTAATTGGAATAGAAAGTTCTTAGATTGACATGAATGACACATGAATGATTCCGTCAGTTTTTGTTTGTTTAGTTTTTTTTTTTTTTTGAGACAATTTTGCTTTTGTTGCCCATGCTGGAGGGCAATAGCGCAATCGCGGCTCACCACAACCTCCACCTCCCACTTTCAAGCAATTCTCCTGCCTCAGCTTCCCAAGTAGCTGGGATTACAGGCATGCGCCACCACACCTAGCTAATTTTGTATTTTTAGTAGAGACAGGTTTCTCCATGTTAATTAGACTGGTCTCGAACTCTTGATCTTAGGTGATCCACCCGCCTCGGCCTCCTGAAGTGCTGGGATTACCAGCATGAGCCACCGCACTCAGCCGATTCCATTATTATTTTAAGAATATGAAATCAACCTCAGTAATAGCAGGAGATTCATTCAACCATTCTTAGCCCATTTAGCTCATGGAGACTGTGGAATTGCTGTGGAGAGCCTTGTGAAACAGGTGTTTTTGATAAAAATGGTTACAATTTTTCTCAAATATGGGAGCAGTACTTCTTTTTTGTCCTATGGGATAAAGCCATATTCTCATTCCACCTATTATTATTATTATTATTATTTCTGAAACAGAGTCTTGCTGTGTTGCCCAGGTTGGAGTGCAGTGGCATGATCTCGGCTTACTGCAACCTCCACTTTTCGGGTTCAAATGATTCTCCTGCCTCAGCCTCCCGAGTAGCTAGGATTATAGGTGTGTGCCAGCACACCGGGCTAATTTTTTTTTGTATTTGTAGTAGAAACGGGGTTTCACCATGTTGATCAGGCTGGCCTTGAACTCCTGACGTCAGGTGATCTGCCCACCTCAGCCTCCCAGAGTGCTGGGATTGCAGGTGCACCAATTGTTATTAAATATATATTGTTATATTTAAACATCCCATGATGCATGTATTTGTTTTGTGGTAAAACTCCAAGCAAACCTGCAGCTTAGGCTCTTAGCTATAAAGCATCTCCTTTCCTTGTCACGTCCTCCACCCTCCTTCCAGCCTCACTGGGGAGCCGCTACTGTCAGTTCTGTGCCAGGTGTCAGAGCAAGTCTCGTACACGTGTATTTCTGCATTGTTGTGAGACCTAAAAAAAAAAACTGTACTAAATTAAAAAAAGAAAATTTTATATATATATATATTTTTTACTTTAGGTTTGAGACTACATGTGAAGGTTTGTTACGTAGGTAAACTCATGTCATCAGGGTTTGTTGTACAGATTATTTCATCACTTTGGCGTCAAGCCCAGTACCCAATAACTTTTTTTTTTAATTTATTTTTTTTGAGACTGAGTTTTGCTCTTGTTGCTCAGTCTGGAGTGTGATGGCATGATCTCAGCTCACTGCAGCCTCCATCTCCAGGGTTCAAGTGAGTCTTCTGCCTCAGCTGGGATTACAAAAAACCTGTCACCACACCTGGCTAATTTTTCTATTTTTAGTAGAGACAGGGTTTCATCATGTTGGCCAGGCTGATCTTGAACTCTTGACCTAAGGTGATTCACCCTCCTCAGCCTCCCAAAGTGCTGGGATTACAGGCGTGAGCCACCACGCCCGGCCCCCAATAGTTATTTTTTCTGCTCCTCGCCTTCCTCCCACTCTCCACCTTCAAGTAGACCCCAGTGTCTGTTGTTTTCTTGTTTGTGTTCCAGGAAACATTTTACTTTGATATTTGATCCTGCTAGTTGTGAAAATTTACAAGTAAATATGGACAGCTTGCTCTTTGGCATTGGAAATTGGCTGAGTGACAACCTGTGGGTCATTTGCAATTTTTCCCTGTATAAAGAGTGCCATAGTGGCTGCCTCCGTGCATGCCTGCATTTTTACAGATATCTGAAGATTCCTCCAGGTCAGGCAGTTGAAGGAGTGATTGCCTCCTCTAGGATGAAGCATTTCCTGTTTTCTCAGATCCCTCAAGATTCCCCCCTGCCCCCAACTGCCAAAGTGTCCTTTTCCAGAAAGATGAGATTCCTCTTCAGTTAAACAAAACTTGCTACTTTTTGTATTTTTAAAACTCATATATATATACACACACACACATATATATACACACACACATATACACATATATATACACACACACATATATACACACATATATGTATATATATACACACACACATCCCTACACATATACACACGTATGACATACACATAGTTATATAAACACACACGTATGTGTTTTGAAAATCTGGGACAAATGATGTAGCAGGACGAGCCACAGACAAAACCTCTCAGACACCCAGCCTCCGGGTTCACGCCATTCTCCGGCCTCAGGCCTCGCGAGTAGCTGGGGACTACAGGGGCAGCCCACCCTGCCGGCTATGTTTTTCTGTATTTTTAGTGAGACGGGATTTCACCGTGTTAGCAGGTGGGTCTCGAGTTCTCCTGAGCTCGTTATCGCCCGTCTCGGCGCGTCCCAAAGTGCTGGGAATTACAGGCTTAGAGCCACCGGCGCCGGGGGCCTCAGATATTTCTTTAACAGAGAACGCATGTTTCATTTGTTTTATTTCTGTATTTTTCACAAACATAAGAAATTCATACTGAGAGGGTGCCACATTACCTCTCAAAAAGTGTAA